AAAAAAAAAAAAAACTAAATAAATGATAAAATGAATCAATAATCATTATTGATCCATTTAGTGATAAAATGAATCAGTCATTGATAAAATGTATCAATTATAATAAAAATGAATTAATTATTAATTGTAATAAATAATACAATGAAATTTGATCAATGATCAATGATTACCATCTTTTTTCAACTTTTATTTGATCATGAAACAATTGACCAGATGTAGTATTTATTTCCATCTCTAATACCTATTCATTTGCATAATCTCAGATTACGTCCACAACCGGTCACTACCTTCCACATTTTTATTATTACCAAATAGCTTATATATTTCTTATCAAATAATATGCATATATACAATTTATCGATTATTTATATTACCTATATATTTCTCATAAATAACTTATTATTATTTGTATTATCTATACATTATTTGTTAATAATTTGTATTATTTCAATTATTGCTTATATTATTCATACATTAATTATGAATAATTTATATTTTACTACTTATCGATTAATTATATTGCATTATTTATGCTTAATTTATAGATAATTTATATACATTATTTATAGGTAACTTACATACATTAGTATATTATCTATATATTACTCATAAGTAACTTGTATTACTTCTAATACTAAAGTGATAGGTAATATACTTAAGTGATAGGTAATTTTATATTACCTATCACTTATTACGTTACTTACAGTTAGCTTATATTATTTCAATTATCACTTATATAACTCAATTATTACTTATGAATAACTTGATAGATTACTTATACATTTGGTATGTATGCTTATTTTGTTTATTTTATGCTAGCAATTAAATGCTCAGAATTTTTGAAATAAATAATCACAAAAAAAAAAAATTCTGATTTTTTTTTTCGAGAATAATTTGAAAAGAATGGAATAAATTTGAATAGCAGTAAAAAGTTAATAGTTAAACTTTTCCATATTTTGAATCAAATTATTTAATTAATTATAAAAAAAAGAAAAGAAAAAAAAATTGAACAATCAATGTGAATAGTATCAAAAATGGGAAAATATTAAATGAACAGATAAATGAAATGAGCAGTTTTGCTTTTGGACATTAATTATATGCGACATATTTAAATTGTCAAATTTAAATTGACAAATATTAAAATGACATAAATTGAATATTTCCAAAAATTAACTCTTTCAATCCAAACTGTTAAAAATTATTAATTTCGAATTTTTTTTCCCAATAAGAAAAGGAAAGAAACTAAAATGTGATTAACGTGCAAAAAAAAAGAAAAAAAGATAAGAAATTAAAATTGAAATACTGATAGTAAATAGAATAATAATAATATTACATGGATAGGTTTTGATGAGAAAAAAATAATCATTTATAAAAAATGTTAATAATATGTTTAAAAAATTTTATCAATCATGTTAAATTAGCAATAAAATAAATTAGAAAATGATGCTTAAAAAAATTTTGTCCCATCATTTAGCTTCATTAATCAAATTATTAGCATATTTCGGGTTTCGGCTCTAATCAAACAATTATTTTAATTGATAATAAGTAAAAATTTTTTGTAAATTTTAATTTAAAATAAAAAATTTTGCTCGAAAAAAAAAAGGAAGCAAAGAAAGGAAAAAATATAAATTATGCTCTAAGTTTTTTTTTTTTTTTTTACACCATCAAATATTTGTTTTTTGTATTTGATGCTAATGAAAGCTTCTGTTCATCACTTTTAATATTGCTATCATATTCAATACGAATTATTCAAACAGTGTTGTTTGCATTTAGTCAACTCAATTCAAATTTAATCTCAAAATTTTAACTTTCAAAAAATAAGTATTAAATTTAAAATTTGAAAAAATAAGAAATGGAGGAAGAAAGAAATTGCCCATATTTCCTTCCTTTTTTTCTTTTTACCTTTCTATAAAGTTTTTTTTATCACTTGTAAAATGATTATTTAATGCAAAAAAAAAAAATTACCAACCATCATTGATTTAATGAAAAACAAAAAAAAAAAAAAAGAAAGAAAAAATTAGCAAAGAAACAAATGACATTCATTTAATAGATGACATCTTTTTTTAAAAAAA